GTTACCTTTTTATAACCAGGGCCACCTCTCTTCCTCCCATTTTCATCTCCAGCAACAAGCAATCTGTTCTTCTCTTTATCATTTAGGAAAGTTATATAAATGAAATAATATAGCATATGATCTTTTGATATTGCCTTTTTTATTTAGCATAGTTTAATTTTTTTCTGATTATAAAAGTAATAGGGAATTAACTAGAGAAGTATTAGAACTAATTACTAATGATGGATTTATACTTGACAGAAAAATCAAAAACTTTTTTATTCAGTGGTAATAATTAAAAATGGCATAGGACGCCTGGGTGGCTCAGTCGTTAGGTGTCTGCCTTCAACTCGGGTCATGATCCCTGAGATCTAGCCCCGCATTGGGCTTCCTGCTCGGCAGGAGGCCTGCTTCTCCCTCTCCCTCTCCCACTCCCCCCGCTTGTGTTCCTGCTCTCGCTATCTCTCAGACTTTAAAAGAATTTCAGTTGTTTTAGGGTTGGGACACACCTTATTTTATAAGTATTTTTAACTTTATAATATTTTGTTATGGAATTTTATACTTGGTTTAAAAAGCATTTTGTTAACCTGCTCTCTTTTCCCCAGAAATCTTTTTGGTAGAAATCTTTCTTTTTCCCCTCCCTAACATCCTTCTTCTATTACTTTATTTGCTATTTGGAAGTGATAGGAAAAGTTACTTACTCTTTTCTCTTTAATAAGGATCATCCTGTTGAAAAATACTATAGAAATGTGATAAATGTGTTCTTAAGACAAAGAAATAGATTATGGGGCTGGACATACTAGAGATCTAGAGTTGGTCATATTAGAGAAGCTGAACACTCAAACACTTAGTTGAAATTTACCAAGAGGCATTTTGAATTTTCTGATTTACCAAGAATTCTGAAATGATATGCATATGTTCTGGTAAGTAGAATTGTAAACTAAATTTCTACTTTTTCGTATTTAGAAATGTTTTAAATTTATTATTTTGAAATAGTTACAGATTTACATGCAATTGTAAGAAATGATACAAGGAGATTCCATATACCCTTCATTCATTTTCCCTCAGTGGTACCATTTTGCATAACTTTAATACAATTTTACAACCAGGAAAATGGCATCGATACCATCCATTGACTAAGTTTACATGTACTCATTTGTTTGTGTGTGTGTTCTATGTAATTCACTAGTCTGACCACTACCACAGACCAAGAGACAGAACAGCTTTATTGTAAGGATCCCTTGTGTTACCTTTTTATAACCAGGGCCACCTCTCTTCCTCCCATTTTCATCTCCAGCAACAAGCAATCTGTTCTTCTCTTTATCATTAGGGTTTGGGGATGAGAGCTCAGTACCAGGAGTGTTGGAAGCCTAAGCCTCCCAGTCCATTCAGTAATGGCAGTTGTTTAGGGGCAAAAGCCCTATGTGAACTGATAACCTCACAAGGTGATTTATTTAATTCTGTAAAAGGAATCAGGCAAACACTCTTTAAAAATCTTAAACATTTTGAAAATGGATTTTTTCTTTTTCTTTTTTTAGATCCATGGAAAATGGCACCCTTTGGTGTCTCATTATTGCTAAGTTGATCCTTTCCCGAAGTGTTTCATCTGATGAAGTAAAACGGCATTATAGGAGAAAAGAAGGGTATTCTTATTTTAAATGTTTGTACTTTGTAATTTGTTGTATTTGGTCACTTTGGCAACCCCAACTAATGAATAATCTCTAATCAATCAAGGAAACAAGGTTAGAGAAATGAGGAAATTAAAGGAAATGAGAATTAAAGACTTTTTTAAATATATTTTATTTATTTTGTGGGGGGAGAGAGAGAGAGAGCGAGCACACACGGAGAGGGAGAAGCAGACTCCCTGCTGAGCAGGGGGCCTGACATGGGGATTGATCCCAGGACCTGAGCTGAAGGTAGAGGCTTAACCAACTGAGCCACTCAGGCGCCCCCGCAGCTGAGCCACCGAGGCACCCTGAGAGAATTAAAGACTTTTTTTTTTAAAGATTTATTTATTTATATTGAGAGAGTGAGAATGAGAGAAAGAGAGAGAGAGAGCACATGAGAGGGGGGAGGGCCAGAGGGAGAAGCAGGTTCCTTGATGAGCGGGGAGCCCGATGCGGGACTCGATCCTGGGACTCCAGGATCATGACCTGAGCCGAAGGCAGTCGCTTAACCAACTGAGCCACCCAGGCGCCCGAGAGAATTAAAGACTTTAAAAGAATTTCAGTTGTTTTAGGGTTGGGACACACCTTATTTTATAAGTATTTTTAACTTTATAATATTTTGTTATGGAATTTTATACTTGGTTTAAAAAGCATTTTGTTAACCTGCTCTCTTTTCCCCAGAAATCTTTTTGGTAGAAATCTTTCTTTTTCCCCTCCCTAACATCCTTCTTCTATTACTTTATTTGCTATTTGGAAGTGATAGGAAAAGTTACTTACTCTTTTCTCTTTAATAAGGATCATCCTGTTGAAAAATACTATAGAAATGTGATAAATGTGTTCTTAAGACAAAGAAATAGATTATGGGGCTGGACATACTAGAGATCTAGAGTTGGTCATATTAGAGAAGCTGAACACTCAAACACTTAGTTGAAATTTACCAAGAGGCATTTTGAATTTTCTGATTTACCAAGAATTCTGAAATGATATGCATATGTTCTGGTAAGTAGAATTGTAAACTAAATTTCTATTTTTTCGTATTTAGAAATGTTTTAAATTTATTATTTTGAAATAGTTACAGATTTACATGCAATTGTAAGAAATGATACAAGGAGATTCCATATACCCTTCATTCATTTTCCCTCAGTGGTACCATTTTGCATAACTTTAATACAATTTTACAACCAGGAAAATGGCATCGATACCATCCATTGACTAAGTTTACATGTACTCATTTGTTTGTGTGTGTGTTCTATGTAATTCACTAGTCTGACCACTACCACAGACCAAGAGACAGAACAGCTTTATTGTAAGGATCCCTTGTGTTACCTTTTTATAACCAGGGCCACCTCTCTTCCTCCCATTTTCATCTCCAGCAACAAGCAATCTGTTCTTCTCTTTATCATTTAGGAAAGTTATATAAATGAAATAATATAGCATATGATCTTTTGATATTGCCTTTTTTATTTAGCATAGTTTAATTTTTTTCTGATTATAAAAGTAATAGGGAATTAACTAGAGAAGTATTAGAACTAATTACTAATGATGGATTTATACTTGACAGAAAAATCAAAAACTTTTTTATTCAGTGGTAATAATTAAAAATGGCATAGGACGCCTGGGTGGCTCAGTCGTTAGGTGTCTGCCTTCAACTCGGGTCATGATCCCTGAGATCTAGCCCCGCATTGGGCTTCCTGCTCGGCAGGAGGCCTGCTTCTCCCTCTCCCTCTCCCACTCCCCCCGCTTGTGTTCCTGCTCTCGCTATCTCTCTCTGTCAAATAAATAAATAATAGAAGCCTGCTTCTCCCTCTCCCACTCCCCCTGCTTGTGTTCCTGCTCCTGCTGTCTTGTCTCTCTGTCAAATAAATAAATAATAGAAGCCTGCTTCTCCCTCTCCCACTCCCCCTGCTTGTGTTCCTGCTCTCGCTGTGTCTCTCTCTGTCAAATAAATAAATAATAGAAGCCTGCTTCTCCCTAGCCTGCTTCTCCCTCTCCCACTCCCCCTGCTTGTGTTCCTGCTCTCGCTGTGTCTCTCTCTGTCAAATAAATAAATAATAGAAGCCTGCTTCTCCCTTTCCCACTCCCCCGGCTTGTGTTTCTGCTCTCGCTATCCTTCTCTCTCTCTCTGCCAAATAAACAAAAAAACAATATTAAAAATGGCATAGGAAAAAAGAGGTTCTATGCAAAATGACAACAAAACTATACCTAGAAATAAATTTAACAAAAAAAAATACAGTGTAAAACTTTAGTAAAGATTACAAAAGAAGGTGGGAAGATAAATTGTGAAAATGGTTGTATCAATCTGTAATTGCAGTGTAATCTCATTCAAAATTCCAGCAATGTTTTTTGAAAAACTTGACAAACTGCCTTTTAAGGAAAAATGCTCAAGAATTGGTAGGGGGGAAAAAAAAGAATCAGTAGGAAATTTCTGAAAGAGAAAAGTGAAAGGGACTTGCCTTGTCAATATAATAATTAAGCAGTATTAAATTGGTGAATAGACAAATCAGTGGATCAAGATATAGAATCCAGAAACTAATCCACGCAGATACGAAGATTTAGTTTTTGATGCAGGTGGCCTTTCAAATTAGAGGCATGAGTCAATAATACATGATGTTAGGAAAACCAGATATGTTTGAAAAAAATAGCAAGATGCCCCTCTTAATGTTATACACCAGAACGAAGTCCAGATGAAAGCTAAATGTAAATGTAAAATGTAAAACAGATCTATATAAAAGTATCAAGGGAAAATAAGAGTCTCTATGTAATCTTGTTAGGGGAAGATCTTAAGCAAAGCACAAAAACTCAGAATCCGTAAAAGAAATGATAGATATTTCATTTTGTGAAAATGAAAACTTCTAGCAATGTAAGTGCCCATCAATAAATGAATGGATAATCAAAAAATGGTGGTACACACATACAATGGAATATTATTCAGCCTTTAAAAGGAAGGAAATTCTGATACGTGTTATAACATGGATAAGCCTTGAGGACATTATGCTAAGTGGAATAAACCAGGCATAAATGACAAATATTATATGATTCTGCTTATGTGAGATACTTAGAGTAGTCAAATTCATAGAGACAGAGGTGGAATGGTGGTTGCCAAGACCCGGAGAGAGAGGAAATGGGGAGTTCTTGTTTAATGGGTAGAGTTCCAGTTTTGTGAAATGAAAAGACTTCCAGAGATTGGTTTACACAGCAGTGTGAATGTACTTAACACTACTGAACTGCACACTTAAAATAGTTAATTTGCTAAATTAATATGTATTTTACCCATAATTAAAAATTTTTAGAAAAAGAAAACTTCTGTATGACAAAAATGCAGTAAATAATGGTTAAAGGACAAGTGACAAAATGGGAGAAAACTTTTACAAATTAACAAAAACTTAATATCCATAATATACTAATAGCTTCTATTAATTAGTAAAACCATCCAAATTAAAAAATTTGTCAAGGACTTTAACAGGTAATTCATAGATGAAATGGTCAGTAGTCATTTCATTTATAAAATGAAAAATGACTTTGTCATAGTAATAATGATAGAAATACAAATTAAAAGAAGCACATTTTATCTGCCATCTTTCTAGAAATTAAGATTCATCAAGTGTGCAGTCATACTTGTCCATTTTTGGTGAAAGTGTAAATTGATTGTGCTTTTTAGGAAAGCAATTTGAAATTATCAAAATGTAATACATTCATATCCTTTGCTCTTGCAATTCTACTTCTAGGAATTTAGCTTAAATAGTATTATATTTGCACATATGCAGAATAATACCTTGCTCACAGACATTTATTGCAACTTTATTTGTAAAAGCAAAATTTGGGAAAAAAACCTCAATGCCCACTAATAGGGGAATAGTTAAATTATGATAGTATGGAATATTTTTCTTTTTGTTCTTAATTTAGTTATGGAGCTTTAAAATAGAAAGTAATTTATATCTATATGTTCTGACATAGAAAGGTCTAAAATGTAAGTGGCAAGTAATACAGTAGTATATTTAGAGTGATCTCATTATGTAAATACATAAACACATAAACTAATAATAAATAACATAAATACATAAACATAAAATTCAAGTATATATATGACATCTATGAATATCAATTCATAGAAGGGACACAACTGGTACTGTTTAAATGAATCAGTTGACTCTTAAAGAGAACATAATCATATATTGTATAATTTTTAAAAATTATACATGGGGGTGAAGTTATATATGCTTATGTTAAAAACTAGAAGCCTTTCATCATCCAGAACCAGCAACTCTCAATCTTTTCATTGTTTCCTTTTTTTTCTATACAGTTATTTTATGTAGTGGCATTATTAGTCTTTTTGAATATTCTGAAGGAATTTTCTGAAACCACTGCATGTTTAGGATAAATATAATTCATACTTTTCCTTTTCTTTAAACAGTTTTTTCCCACTAACGGAAGGTAATATGCATACCATTCAAAGTCTCTGTCCGTTTTTGTCAAAAGAAGACAAGAAAGAATTCATTGCTCAATGTATACCTCCCCTTTTGGCCTGGACTAAGGAAGATCTTTGCAGTACTAATGGTTAGTGCTTGATAATAAATATTTCTTTACTTTAATTATTGCTTGAGATAAAAGAAGTGTTTCTTAATATCTAAATCCAAATCTAGCAGAGATAAATATCTAAATATCTAAATCCAAATCTAGCAGCTGATTTATTCCTAGTTTATACTTTTGCTTCATAACAAGTTGGCAGTCAATAGGATGAGTGTCATTGGAGAGTGACTGTTACCATTTTGTAGTACAGAAATGCTACAGCCTTAAGGGAAGATTAAAACCTCAACTGTCCTTTCATTATTTATTTCTATCCATAGCATTTTTAGCTATGCTTAATTTCTCCCTAGTCAACCAATGACTGAACATCTAGAGGTAACAGAGAGAATAATTTTTGTTGTATTTTAAACCTTTTTGGACACTCTGTACTCTTATTAGTTCATTTGTTTATTAATTTAATAAACACTGAACATGGCTCTTTGGCAGTTCCTTTGGTAGAGAGGACAGGCATAAAGTTATATCGTGATAACCGATGTATCAGAAACATGTCCTGTGCGTCAGAGCAGCAGAAAAGGAGTTTCCCCACTCTGCTTTGAGGCATCAATGGTGATTTCACAAAGAAAAATTTAACTGGGTGATGAAGGATATTTTTCCATATGGCTATAGTTGGGGAGGGGCATATGGATATAGTTGGGGACAGACAACATGAAAGAGTGTAGAGAGTTCAGTTTGGCTGGCATTTAAAGTAGAAGGTTGGGGACAAAGGATGTAAGATGCACAAGTAGCTGGATTTTGAGAAAGGGTAGGGGAAAGGCCTTATGTAGGTTAAGGAATTTGGACTTTAAGAGCTAGGCAGTAAGGAGCTATTGGCTCAAATTAGGTAGGAGAGTTGTAAGACTGTCTCATTAGAAAGATTATTTTGATAACTGTGAAAGGTGGATATGAGGGAAGAGAGATTGGGGGTAGAAGACAGATAGGAAACTATTGGAATGTCTTTATTTTTTAAAATTTTTATTTTATTTATTTTTGGTGGGGGTGGGTCAGAGGAAGAGAGAATCTTAAGCAGGCTCCATGCCCCGCATGGAGCCCCGTGGCGGTACTCAGTCTCCCAACCCTGAGATCATGACCTGAGCTGAAATCAGAGTTGGACGCTTAATTGACTGAGCCACCCAAATGCCCCTGGAATAATCTTAATGAGAGATAAACAGAGCTTAAATCAAGGCATAGACGGAAGAGAGAAGTAGGAAATGAAAGAGATTATGGAAATAGAGTTGGTGTGGCTCTGTGATTCTATTTCTGAATTGGGTAGAAGAAAATACCAATAGGCCTTATAGAGAACCTTTAAAGGAGACTTGAAGGTTAGGAGGAAGTAGGCAAGGAGTATACAGGGAGCCAATGTTAAATTAAGGTGGCTATGGTTATTACTCAAATGGAGATTGTCTATCGATCGGATGGAAATACTACTTTCCAAGCCCACGTCATGTAGGTAGTAGTATAATCTGTAAATGAGCATGAGCTTGTCCAGGCAGAGTGAAGAGTGAGAAGAACGTCAAGGGAATGCCCCAGTACATAGATACAAGGGGTATGTGGGTGGGGGAGACTTGAGAATAAGGACTAAAGATAAAAGCAGAGGAGTTTTAGGTAGTATACAACCCCTGTGTTAAATACCACAGAAGGTCACATAAAATTCAGGACTGAAAAGTGTCCATTAACTTTAGCATTATTGGAATGAAGAGTGTTGAGAAAATGGAGGCAGATAGTTTGTTCTAAGTGTTCGGTGAAAAGGGATGTAGAAAGGTGAGAGCCAGAGATGAATTTAAGGTCAGAGGGAAAATTGGTGTTGCAGGGGAGGAGGAGGAGTAGTAGAAAATAGAGAAACTGATGATAGCTCCCACTGAGAAGATGAGAGGGATGGAATCTACTTAGAAGATACTAACCTCGTGTAGGTGGAGTGACTTTCTTCTGAGAGAAGTTAGGAGAGATGTAGGATGGATGCAGATGTGAACAAAGAGGGTAGGGAACTTGATGTGTTCCTTACTAATAAGCTTTGCATCTCTTTGGGCCAGATCATTTAATGAGTAGAAACTGGATTGCAGATTTTAAGAAGGATAGTGAAAGTTTGAAGTAGTGGAAGAAGAACACGCCTATCAACAAACATTTGTCAAGAAGAATTACCCTATGGCACCCAAAGCCAGCCGATGTCAAAAATAAATTATTGTGGCATTAAGCTTTATAGTTTCGTTCACTGACAGAGTTAGATTGTAGGATCAGGCAGGGATTTGCAGTTCTGGAATGGGGATGCAGTGGAACTGGCTGTGCATAGAGGAGAGGAGGACCTAATGGGAGTGCAGGTGGTTTCTCCAAGCACACATTATACCTGAAGGATGGCCAAGGGAAAGAAGGGGCAGGAGGAGACAAGGCTGCAGTGTCACACAGCTCTGTGCAGTCACACAGACCATGGGTTCCTAGCTGTGTGGAGGCTCTACAGGAGGAGGAATGTTTTTGAGATTTGACAAGTAATTTTGCTCTTTCAACCAAAGTAATGAAATAGAATTAGCTAACAAATAGTTTTTAGTATATAGTTGTTAGAAAATCTATTGTTTCTGATTACACTTGAGCTCAGCCTATTCTATTTTGCCAGGAAGATTAAAAAAAAATTATTCCTCTGCCTTTAAAGGATGGTTAAATACATTATACATTTTTTTTCTTTATTCCTCAGTTCCCTTTTACCTAAGGATAAAAACCCAAGTCCTTAGTTTGGCCTGTTGGACATTTTACAATCTTATTGCAACTGATCTCCAGTTCTACTTTTTGCTTCCATCCTGGACCTGGCAATGCTAAATCTTCATGATTTTTGAACATTATATACTTTTTTTTCAGTTTTATTGAAAAATTATTGACATCACTGTGTTTCAGGTGTACAACACGATGGTTTGATTTATATATATATTTTGAGGTTATTACCACTGTAGGTTTAGCTCACATCCATATTCTCATGTAGATGCAATAAAAAGAAAAGCAAAAGGAAAAAAAATTCCTCCTGATGAGAACTCAGGATTGACTTTTACCAGCATTCCTGTATATTATATAGTAGTGTTAGCGTAGTCATCATGTTGTACATTACATCCCTAGTACTTATTTATCTTATAACTGGAAGCTTGTGACTGTAATCCTTCCTCCAAGCCCCGCCCTCCCCCATCCTCCCTTCTGGTGACCACAGTCTAATCTCTTTTTTTTTTGTGAGTGTGGGTTTGATTTGGTATGATTTGGTTTGGTTCCACATATGAGTGAGATTATACAGTATTTGTCTTTGACTTATTTCACTTTAGCATAGTATCTTCAATGTCCATCCATGTTGTCACAAATGGTAGGATATCCTTTTATGGCTGTGAATAGTATTCCATTCTATGTATATACCACAACTTCTTTTCCATTTCATTCATTGATGGACACTTGGGTTGTTTCCATGTCTTGGCTATTATAAATAATATTGCTATGAACATGGGGGTGCAGATATCTTTTGGAGTTAATCTTTTTGTTTCCTTTGGATATACATTGACCTTTGAACAACATGGGTTTGAATTGTGTGGGTCCCCTTGTATGCAGATTTTTTTCAATAAATACAGTACTATAAATGTATTTTCCTTATGATTTTCTTGACATTTTCTTTTTTCTAGCTTACTTTATTATAAGAATATAGTTAATACATATGTGTTAATTGTCAATGTAATTGGTAAGGCTTCCAGTCAACAGTAGGCTGTTAGTAGTGAAGTTTTTGGGAAGTCAGAAGTTATATGCAGATTTTCAAGTGCATGGGTTGGGGGGGTTGGTGCCCCTAACCTCCACATTATTTGAGGTTTAACTGTATTCTCAGAAATGGAATTACTAGATCATACAGTAGTTCTATTTTTAATTTTTTGAGGACATCCATACTGTTTCTCATAGTGGCTGTGCCATTTTACAGCCCCACCAGCAGGGCATGAGGGTTCCATTTTCTTCACAGCCATGCCAGAATTTGTTATCTCTTATCTTTTTATGATGGCCCTTCTGATAAGTGTGAGATAATATCTCATTATAGTTTTAATTTTTATTTCCCTAATGACTAGTGATGGTGAGCATCATTTTATATATCTGTTGGCCTTAGGAATATTTTCTTTGGAAAAATGTGTATTCAGGCCCTTGGCCCTTTTTTAAATTGGGCTATTTGGTTTTTTGCTATTAAGTTGTATGAGTTCTTTATATATTTTGGATATTAATCCCTTATTGGATATATGGTTTGCAAATATTTTTCCCATTCTGTAGGTTGTCTTTTCACTTTGTTGATTTATTTTGCTGTGCAGAAACTTTTTAGTCTGATGTAGTCCCACTTGTTTATTTTTTATTTTACTTGTGCTTTAGGAGTCATATCCAAAAATTAATTACCAAGGTGCATGTCAAGAGCTTCATTCCTATGTTTTCCTCTAGAAATTTCATAGTTTTATATATTTAAATCTTTAATTGCTTTTGAGTTGTTTTTTGCAAGTGATGTAAGATATGGGGCCAGTTTTATTATTTTACATGTGAATAGCCAATTATCCCAGCACCATTTATTGAAGAGACTGTCTTTCTCTATTTAGTATTCTTGAATACCTTGTCAAATATTAGTTGATCATATTTTGGGCTCTCAATTCTGTTTCATTGGTCTGTTTGTTTTTATGACCTATTATACTATCTTGATGACTATAATAGCTTTATTGTATAGCATGACATCAGGAAGTGTGATGCCTCCTGCTTTGTTCTTCTTTTGCAGGATTTCTTTGGCTACTCAGGGTCTTTTGTGGTTCTGTATACGTTTTAAGAGTGTTTTTTCTACTTCTGCAAAAAATGCCAGTGGAATCTTGAATAGGGATTGCATTGAATCTATGGATGGCTTTTGGTAGTATTGATATTTTAACAATATTAATTCTTCCAGTCCATGAACATGGAATACCTTTCTATTTATTTGTGTCTTTGATGTCTTTCATTAATGTCTTGTAGTTTTCAATGTAGAG